ATCTTCACCTGATGACAGGAAAGGATCTACTATCTCTTCCACACAACCCCTTCCAATCCTATCAACTGCAAGTGCAGCCAAATTAACCTCAGTTGGAGGTCGAGACAAATCAACCGCTTTCAGGGAAGTTATTATCTCTACCAAAACCACTCCAAAACTATAGACGTCGCTTTTATCAGACAGATGGAAATTGTGCTCGTATGAGGGGTCAACATAGCCTGGTGTACCTTGTGGAGCAGTTGAGATATGTGATATGTCTGTCATGCCCAGCCTGGAAAGCCCGAAATCTGCTACTTTTGAATTGAAGTTGTGATCCAAGAGTATATTACTGGACTTTATGTCTCTGTGGTAGATTGGAGGATCCACAGTAGAATGAAGATACGCAATGGCATTGGCAGTTTCAGCAGCAATGGCGAGCCTTGCCATCCATGGAAGTACGGTACCCCTTTGTCTTCGTAAATGTTGAGATAGTGTTCCATTGGGCATAAACTCAAGAACAAGCATTTGCTCGCTTTCCCCTATCCAGCAACCCAAGATGCGGAGTAAATTTGGGTGACTCACAGAAGAAAGGAGCTTGATCTCGTTTATGACTTGGACAGCGTTGTTGTTGTTTTCTACATGCTTTATCTTTTTTATTGCAACCCATTCATTGCGGAGTTTCCCCAAATAAACTGTACCAAAAGCACCAGATCCTAGCTTCCGTTGCTCAGAGAAAAAATTAGTGGCTTCTTCTATTTCTATGTATGAGTAGACAACGAGATGAGAATTGCCCGCTGCTTCACGTAATAGTCGCTCTACTTTCTCTCTCTGTCTTTTCCGCAACTGCTGCAATTTGATGTTATAGAGAAGACTCACACCAACACTGATGATAGCTATAATGACAAGCCCTGCGAAAAATCACGTGGCACTTGTAAAATATTCATCTTAAAAATATTCATCTTGCCTAAGTATATGCCGCAATGGATCTAGGTTATGGACGAATTAGGAAGGACTGATATTGGAATCCGAAAGCTAGAAAGTAAGCATTTAGCCCTAGTACACTATTACTAAGCAACCCTCACGAGGTAAGATATCTCGTTCTAAGCCCCTCTGGTTAGTTGGTCAAATGATGAAAAAGGAAATATATTGAGAACGATTTGCATACTATCAAGCATACAGGACGAAGTTTTGGCAAAAGCTAGTCCTAAAAGAGTATAATGCCACTAAAGACCTGCAGTTTTACCTTCAAGAATATTTGAAATGAATGTCGAAGCATGGCAATGACGAACTGATGACAGAACAAAAGAAAAAGGGATTAGAAATGAAAGATAATAGTTATATCTTTTGAATTTTCAATGATTAAAAAATCAAACTAGAGCATATGCTCAAATCGGTCAAACTATACACCACTTAGGTTAACAATTCAATCAAGCTAAAAAAACTGTTTGAAAGGCTAGATTGGATTAGGCTACTTTGGACCAACAGGTTAATTAAAAACTGGATTCAGTTTCTAAAAATTGAAATACTCAAAAAATACCTTTTTACTTTTTTTTATTTTTTATCAAATTTTTTTAAAAAAATAATCAATTTTTTTAATTATTTAATATTATGTTCTATCATATGACTTGTTAAGCCATGATAAACTTAAAATATTTGAGTTTTATTTTTAAGTTGAGTAATAATTTCATATTCATTTCTTATATTTGAATTATATATATATATATATATATAATTTAATTATCACATTATTAATTCAACCATTGATCCAACCCAATTGAACTATGCGAACTGTGAACTACTTGTTTTTTCGATTTAATATCCAGTCTGGTTTTGAAACATTAAAAATTTTAAAAAAATGTGTAATTTTTAAATTTTACTACTCTTTGTAATTAATGTTCATATGTTGTCTAGAAATTTAAATGATAATAAATAAATAGTAGGTAAAATTAGAAAAAATGTTAATTATTCTAATTTTTTTATATTAAGGAGCAAAAACAAGTTTTCAAAATTTATTTTATATTAAGGATCAAATAAAGTATTCCACAACAATTGACAATTTTAATAGGGAGAGTTACATTGAATTCTTATATAAAAAAATTAATTATTATAATATTAATTAACAATTGAACTAAATTGCATCGACAACATAATCGATTTCAATGTAGTTTAATTCAATTATCAATGAATTTTACAATAATTAATTTTTTTATGTAGGACCTGATTGTAATTCTCCCATTTTAATATAGCAAATTGATAACTTCAATCATAGTATGAAAATTCAATCAACCTATTTGATTAAATTACTAAATCATTAAGCTAGTGTTTTGAGTGGTTTAATAAAAGATTAAAAAAAATTAACTCTTGAATCATTGCTTGACCATTAACTCTCAAACCACTGTTTGACTGGTTTAATAGTCGATTTGATTTTAATATCTTGACTTCAATAAAAGGCATAAAACTTCATAATATTTTTGTAATTTCATGGTACTTTTTTGTCTTTAAATTTCTTCTGTAAAATTTGAGTGGTTTTTTAAAAAATAAATTTACAAATAACATACTTTTATTCTTTAATACAAAAATAACAAAAAGATAATTATTGTGTGATAATATTAAAGATATAATAAACATTACATGTCTTAGGCCAAAAAAAAAAATTACATGTCTTGATTCAGTATAGGGGTTGTCTTTATTTCTTTTAACTTACTTTTGTTTCTTTTAAATTTATTTTTATTTCCTCTTTAATTAAATCAAGGGAGAATTACATATACATTCAAGATAAAGAAATTAATTCCTTACTAATCATATACATATATCAATACTGAAATTTAGTATGTAAATACAGAAATTTTATTTGTAAATGGCCTGAAAAAACAATTAATTTTAAAAACCTGATTGTCATTCTTCCTTAAAATTTCGATTATAAAACTAATTTAGTGTTTGTTTTTTGTTTTTTTTTTGTTTTGGCCTGAATCTAACGATTATACTTACAAGCACAACTCTCTTCGCAACCAGTGCCCTCGCCGGAATCGTAGCCATCTCCGACGTAATTTTCATGGCACTGGCATCGAAACCTGAGCTTACTGTCTGCGAGATGTACCTCTGTGCAGTCTGCGTTGTTAGAGCATGAGCATGCGCCTTCAAGCCACCACCCCAATTCAAGCACCTGAAACTGCAGCGACACCGCCTGCAGGTCTCCACCTCTCTCATTCGCAATCGCCGAGAACAAGAACTTGCACCGAGTTCGACCGAATCGCACTTCGTTGCTTGAAATCCCGTAAAGCAACTGATATCATCACTATTTTTATCGCAACCTGCAAACTCAAGTTGATTGCCCATGAAACTGAGGGGGGGGGGGGATAACGCAGCCGCCGATTGCAGATGAACAAGTTTGCACGAGAAGGCTATTGTTCGTTGTGGGAGCAAATTTTTCACTAAAAAGGGATTGAATGGATTGGATGCTTCGGTTGCATTTAGCAGGAACGTTGATGAAGATACTGCTAGAGGTTATTTTCTGGACCTGAAATCCCCCAATTTCCATCTCGTGGCTGTTGCTGCAGTTTAACATGATATAGCAGTCCCCAGAGAATCCGAAGGGGTATTGCACGGTATACTCTCCACACCTGCGCTCACAGATAGCAGAAATCTCTGTCTCTGCTCTTGTTGAGTCCAACACTAAGAGTAGAATGAGCGCAACCGCGTGGCTTCTCATGTGATTGCACGCTTGTTTTGATGCAATTTGAAGTAGTTTTAACCGAATAGGGAAGTAGAACTGATGCCCTGAACTTCAACTTGAATTGTTAGAGTTTAATCTATTAAAAGAATCATATATTTGATCTTCTTCACCATCATCAGGAGTGAATTGAAGAGAAATATGGAAGAAAAGCATCATGATGTCGTTGGGCAGTCATCCATCTCAAGTTAAGCTGCATAATATGAACACGTATAAATCTCATGTTAAAAAAGTATCCATCCTTCAATTTTTGTTAATATTATTTTGGCATGGTTTACTTTCAATGATAGATAATTAAGAAGAGAGGAAGAATAAACCAAACCTAATATTCCAGTAGCAAGTGATGAGGGAGCATCGCAGGAAGATGGAGGTGCTCGATGCAAACGCGCTATTAGACTGCTCGCCAAAAGCAACTCTATATGATTGTTCACTAGTTGCTGAACTAATCCAATTTTATTGGTCAATGATAGAGAGAGTCTTTAATTTGCAGAAGAGAGACGAGATGCATAAGTTATCATCAGTAATGTAAGTAAAACAAAATGAAACTGCGGGTTCTACAGTTAATTCATGATGCTTTTCATTCCTTTTGCCCCAGTCAAGTACCAAGACGGCTAAATCATGGTTGACTCCCGGTTCATGCGTCAAGGCAATTTGGAACCCCGTTTCGAAAGGGGTAGAATATTCAAAATCACTAACCGCGCTTGGCTTTTTATATTTACTTTGATTAAGATATGTAAAAATTGTTTTTGCAAATGTTACATATTTATTGGTACAAGACATTTTGACACCCCTCTTTTTCCCGGGAACAAGTGGGACTGTTGGATTCGACTACTACGAGTCATAGTAAGTTTGAAACTCCAAGAGAGTTGTATATGTTTTGACAGGTAATGGATGTAGCTGTATTTCTTTGGGGCAGCCCTGCTGGCATTAATGCAAAGCTATGTTTATTCGTATCACCCAAATACCGCTCTTGCTCGGGTTCCTTTAAAAAAAAAAAAAAAAAAAAACACGATCAAGGACTAAACGGAAAGCATGTTCGCTTCCAGGCATGGCCGCATCATATTACATACTTAGTACCATCAAATAACCATAGCTGTTAGGCTGCACACCTCTGCATTTTCTCATTTTCCAATTTCATCTATTTAAATAACCTAGAAACAGGTTAAGCATAGGCTGAGTTTTTGGCAATTTCCCAGCCAAACTTCTACATATGGATTATCCGGCTTTGTTTCCTTTTCCCTTGTAGCCATCACTAACCCTGCGTTAATTATTTTTAAGGAGATGGACGACAGATTACTAAACTAGTCATCTTCAAAGATAGCCATATTGTAACTATATATGTAACGAGAAAAGGAATATGCGCTTAGTATTCACATTGCTGGAGGCTTTCCACAAAAATGAGCTTCTGCTTATCACTGAACTACGTTTCCCAGCAAGCTGTTTGCTGAGGGTGAGCTTTGTCCGCTTGACCAAGGATCATGCACTGATACAGGAGAGCTATCCTTCACTGCTTCCGTAGAATGCTGAATTTTATCCATCTTCTGTTGACTAATTGATCTCTTGCTCCCTCGTTCAGCTTTTTTAAGAGTAATACGATCCATTGACTTCTCACTTCCAATGCGAGGTGATGAACATGAGGAACCAATGGACAAAGCCGTGCATAGTGTTTCTTCCATTGATGCCCGTCCACTGCGTTTGATGTGTTCTAGCTCCTCTGCTACCTCCATCATGGTAGGCCTCATGTCGCTGTGATAAGCAAGGCATCTAAATGCGAGCTCAGCAACCTTGTGAACAGAGTAGAGTGTCCAAGCATCCCTGTGAGGCTCCAGAAAAGGATCTATAATCTCATCCACAGAACCTCTTCTTATTCTATCAACAGCGAGTGCAGCCAAATTAACCTCACTATGAGGTCGTGCAAAATCAACCACTTTCAAGGCGGTTATTATCTCTACCAAAACCACTCCAAAACTATAAACATCACTTTTATCAGAAAGATGGAAGTTTTGGTGGTATTGAGGGTCGACATAGCCTGGAGTCCCTTGTGGAGCAGTTGAGATATGTGATGTTTCTGTCATGCCAAGCCTAGAAAGCCCAAAATCTGCTACTTTTGATTTGAAGTCGTAATCCAAGAGTATATTGCTGGATTTTATGTCCCTGTGATAAATTGGGGGATCAATGGCAGAATGAAGATAAGCAATAGCATTAGCTGTTTCAGTAGCAATGGTGAGTCGTGTTGTCCATGTAAGTCCAGTTCCCCTCATTCTTTGCAAATGCTGGGATAGTGTTCCATTGGGCATAAACTCGTAAACAAGTATCTGCTCACCACCCTCTATGCAGCAGCCCAAGAGGCGAACTAAATTAGGGTGACTCACAGACGAAAGAAGCTTGATCTCGTTCATAACTCGGTCAACACTGTTGGTGTCTTTATACTTGATTTTTTTTATAGCAACACATTCATTATCGTGTAGTTTTCCAGCATATACTGTACCAAAAGCCCCAGTTCCCAACCTCTGTTCCTCAGAGAAAAAGTTAGTGGCTTTTTCTATTTCTTTGTACGGGTAAAAAGGAACAGTAGAGTTGCCTGCAGCTTCACGTAATAGGCGCTTTACTGTCATTTGTTTTGTCAAACACGCATAATGGCGCCGAGCAAAGTAACATCGAAGACACAAACCAGTCAGGAAGACAGCTACAGCAATGATCCCTACAAACAGCCATGGAGATTTGGATCCTTAAAAATCTTAACGCAATGAAATTCAAGAGTATGTTTTTTCTATCCAGAGTTGGATAAAAGTCAATGACAAATTAGAAAAAGGAGAAAGCAAGAGCCAAAAAAGAAAGAGGGCATAACTGATACTAGAATTTGGAGTCTAAAAGATGTGTATTAACCAATAAGCAACTTTGTGACGGGACAATGATTCTCTCATATCAAGTCCTCTAGTTGATCAGTGGATGAAAAAGGCATTTGATAAAGCTGATGTACATAGGAATAGGATATTGACAAAATTTAGCCTGAAAAGAACAGAAGCCATCCAAGAAGTGAGATTTTACCTCCGACAAGAACACCGATTTTAATTGCTTTTCCACATCCACCAGACATTAGAGTTGAGGCGCTGCACTGAGAATCTGAAAGCAGGACAACCCCAAAAAAAAAATCAAAAGAAAAGGAAAAAGAAACAATCAGCAACCATGAATGTTTAGTTTCTTGTGCCAGAAAAGAAAAGAAAAACAATGAATGTTTAGAACAAAGGGCTGTAAGTCTCAAAGTGCACCATAAGCAAGTATCGCATTACCTTGTATCTAAATCGAATCATGGGATAAAAACAATTTGGGGTGGCAGTGACATAGAAAAGAATGCAACAACGAGATTGTACCCAACTTTTTCTTCTTTAAAAAGTAAGAAAGAAAGATGATGGCAGAATATAGCAAAATCCCATCAACCATCAGGCCATCAAGTATATTCTTCATCACTGTCAACAGTAACAAAGGGCTGATAAAAGTACAATTTTTTTTTTTTTTAGATTAAAGACTGGGGAAAAGATAATGCTAAGCCAACAACAAATCAGAAATAGAGCATAGCATAATCTCGTGCATTGATGGACGAATAATCGGGAAAAAAAAAACTTGATTAATAAAAGTCATTTGGCATGCTGGTTCCGTCATGACCTAAACGACTTAAAGATGTCCCGTGGGAAACGCACAATTTCTTTTGTTATCAGAAGTGCATAAAACATGTAAACCAGTAAAATGTCGGTGATGGCCCGACGCTTAAGAATGACAACCGTTCATGTTAATATCAGATGCATTTTGTAAACCAGTAATCGCTCTCTCCCGTTTGACTACCGCTAAAAACAAATCAAATCCATTGGGCCAGACTTGTGATTTGCCGAATACATTGTCTGTACAGATAATCGTGAGCGGGAGCTACAAAATGTTGACCTGGATTTTCTAGTTGGCAAGTTATCATTCACAACACCAAGGCATTTTGCCTTTTCAATTACTCATCTTATTGGGAATAGCGCATCAACAAAAAATCTAGGTTCAAGAAGCAAATTTACCTTTCAATTATTTTTCAAAGAGCATCCAATATCTAATATCCTAGATTATGAGATGGTGAAAATTAAAATATGAACTATCAAAATCAGCGTCAGTTATCCTTCCGTCCATTTGAACAAACGTCCGTTAGTTGACCAATAGTTTGACTGAAAAACATGCTAAATGCCACGTGTCAAAATATATTTGGTTCTCAGGAAAACACACTGGGGAAAAGTTAAAGAACCGAAGGATTTCGAACCTTATGCTCACAGCAGAGAGCATCAGGTTGTGAAGGAGCAAGCCTTTGATCAGAGAAGAGAGATGGCAATGGCAAGCTCCAGCGATTCATCATCCTTCATACTCGCTCTTTCTGGAATTTTCTGTTTTGATTTTTCTTCTGCTTCATCAATTTGTTCTCAATGTTTCATTCTCTTCATCGTTTCTCAAGTCTCAACATTCCGCTCTCTCATATTCAATGTTTTTGCCGAATGCTATCTGCATGATGGAGGCAGATCCTTTGTGCGAGTCGATCAAGAAGGTACAGTCACGATTCAGTTTCGAGGTTCCTGAACCGGTTGTTCGCTTAGCTCTGACGGAGTCCCAGTTCGACACCGATAAAGCAAGAGGGGTTCGATGATTCGCGTATGTCCGATGAAATGTGTCTAAACAGCAAGGTACCCGTTCATTCGGCTCTAGAGAATCAAATCCCGGCGAAAGCAGAAAATGATTCCGATGATTCTCATGAAATGGCATAACCAGTCGAGGATTTGAATGTGGAGAAGAAAGTGAAGGAAGAACTCAATGTCGAGCCCGAGAAGCAAGTTTCAATGAGAGATGGCATTTTCTGACACGTGGCATTCAGCTTGTTTTTTAACTCAAAATATTGGTGAACTAGGTTTGCTCGAAATGGATGGAAGGATAACAGATACTACAATTTTGATAGTTTCTTGTTTAATTTGCACTATCTTACAATATGGGATACCGTATGTTCTTCAAAAAAAAAAAATGGTTATAAGGTAAATTTGATCCTTGATCCAAAAAACTAACTATTTTCACCTAGTAAAAATTATTCTATGAAGGATTATGGCAAATCCCCATTAACTTGAAATTTTCCCACAAACCAATCAATGGAATGGAAAAAGCGGTAGAGGATCAGGCCATAAGTATCCTATAAGAACAAGATGCTGACGCTTGGAAAGTGTCCAAGAGTTTGACATAGTGAAATGGAATTATCCTTTATGGAATAAGGTGAAATCAAACGAAACGCAATGTTTCATTGTTTGGAGTGCCCTCTCAACAATACAAGCGTCTTTAGGGCCCTATGTAAAGTACACACTGCTAGTTTTGAAACGATTCTCAAGCCAAAGAAAAATCCACAGCGAAGTTGAAATGCTTTTACACGAGATATAATCCAGTTGTTACTGCCTAATTGGTCATCGCATAATGCCACAACTAGCTGCATACTTTAACAATTGGTCCCGTCAAACCCCACTTTCTTCGTCAAGATTCCACCGAAAAAGAATAACCAAATGACAAAAAAAACAGAGAATATATAATAAAAAAAATTAATCTTTCAGTCATCTTATCACTACTTATAACTCAATTTCTCAATTATGACTCATTATGACTCAGTTACTTAGCTATAATTCGCCTATAACTCAATCTCTCAATTTTTAAATTACTTACAAATTAATCCCTTAACCTTTATTAATTTTTTTTCATATTAGCTTATATCTCACATTAATGAATAAGAAGAGGGTATTTTAAAATATTATATGAGCATTTTTTATCCCTCTTTTTTGATAAAAATTTTTTAAAAAAATTAAAAAATAAGGACTGAGTTATAGATAAATTAAAAGTTGAGGAATTGAGTTGCAACGAGTTATAGTCGAGGGATTGAATCACAGCGAGCGGGATTGAGTTATAAATAAGTTAAAAGTTGAAGGACTAAAAGATTAATTTTTACTATAATAAATTACCATATTGAAATTAGTCTCAACAACTGGACTCACCTTTCCGGCAACCAGTGCCGTTCTTGAAGCCATCTCCGGCGTAACCTTCATGACACTGGCATCGGTACCCGGTCTTCCTGCCGCCGAGATGAACTTTGGTAGGGATGGCATTGTCAGAGCATCGGGGTGGGCCTTCAAGCCACCACCCCAATTCAAGCATCTGAAGACGGAGCGCAATCGTTGGGTCTTTGCCTTGCTCAATAGCAATCCCAGAGAACAAGAACTTGCACGTAGTTTTATTCAATTCTGCTGTTGTCAGAACATCTGTATCATCCCTTGTTTGCAAAAAGCAACTGATGTTACCACGATGGCAAGTCTTCAAATTGAATTGACTGCCCATGAGACTGGCGGTGGGTATAAAGCATCTGTCCTGCTGAGAAGAACAATTTTGTACCAGAAGGCTATTGTTCCGTGTGGGAGCGAAGTGGGGACTGAAAAGGGGGAGGATAGATTTCATACTTCGGTTGCATCTTGCAGGAAGATTGACGAAGATGCTGCTAGAGGTTACTTTCTCCACCTGCATGCCCCCAATTTCCATGCGCGTCCCATTGCAGTTCAATCTGATCTTGCAGTCGCACTTCTCCGTGAAACCGAAAGGATACTGCACGGAATAATTTCCACAACGGCGACCAGAGTTGCTCGACTTTTCTGCTCTTGTTGAGGAGATGAAGAAGATCGTGAGCACAATAATCAAGTTTCTGGGGTAATAGGACATCTCTTGATGGAAATTGTATTGGTCTGTATTGGGTTTTGAGCGAACAGCATTACCATCACCTTCTGAAACCTAAAACAATACTCAAGCTTTGATCTCTCAGGATATCATATTATCCTACTGAACATCTGACAGAGTTCCTTGATTAATTAAATGAGAAATAAAACCTCGTGGCTGAAGCCGTTGAGCAGCCATCTGTATCAATAAATGCTCAAAGAAGAGGGGTCAGTGACAACTATTATATTGCCGAAATTTTGTTACATTGAAAAAAAAAAAAAAAAACACACTTGAGAGTGAAGCTATAAATACCATACCTTCGAGCATCCTGCAATTGTTGAAATAAATGGCTGTAGCAGTTGGAGAAGTAACTCACCATAGCTAGATGAAATTTAAGTCTGGGATTGGAATTCGGAGGACAATAAATCTTAATTAAATAATTACAGAAAGGGAAAGGAAAAAAAGTCGTCAATTAATAACATATGCACGGCTAATTGAGGGATTCTGATTTCGGAGAAGCTTCGTCTCGTTCATACTTTCGTGTCTGGATTTGTCCTTCAGGCTTCAACGGAAAACGCACTTATGGTGCTGTGGATGGTGATTAATTGACGAATATACCCTTTACCGATTTTCTACTTCACTAAAAATGCCCCTATTCAGATGCCAAATTACCAGGAACAAACATACAAGTCCAAAAAAGGCGGCGTTTGACTAATGGCAGAGGCTATTTTGGATTCTACTTGCCTAATTTTCATATTGAATAAAAAAAAATGTTCACTTGATTCGATTGCACTGAATTAAGCCGGAATGAGAGCCAATTCATTTAACCTATTAATTTTATGGATTGGATTGGGATTTTATTTAAAAACTTCTTTTAAAAGGTTCAAATATATACAGCTCATTTAATTCACAAGTTAAATGAGACAACTTGCATGTTTAATAATAGATTGTCCATTTAACTGACCATAATATTAAAAAAAAAAGTCTGAAATGTGAAAATTTCCAAAATTTTGTCCATATTTTTTTAGAAATCACATGTTTTTTTTCATGTTGTGTTATGAATTGTGCTAAATTACAACGCGCGGAAATAGATCATGTTACTAGTGCTTACTGCTCCTCTTGTTGTTATTATATATAAAGCGCTTTTTAAAAAGTTTTGTTTGTCTTTGATTATTTTATAGATGTGTTATTAATTATTTTTTTAACATTATCCTTATTTAAATTTATTAATTATGAAAAAGAATGTAATATAATTTTTAAAAAAATGTTTAAATAAAAGTAAAATTAAAAGTTTATTATATTTTCATATGATGTTAATGACTTAACCTCTTCTTAGTTCTAATGAGATACTTAGATGAGTCTTATAATAAAGAGAAGAAATAATACTACTCAACTAAAAGACAATATTAAAATATGATTACAATTTAAGGTTTGTTAAGGAGAAAGGTAGATTTGGTGATTCAAGCTAGTTAGGTTTAACTTTGGTAATACTACATCGCATTTTTTTACCCTTACTAATGTGAAACCAAGTATCAAAAGAGTAAACATGAAAGCATATATATGAAGTAATTTCTTGTACTTATTTTTGGATTTAAGGATAAAAATATTCATGAACTTTTTCTTAAGGACATTTAGTATACTTAAGTGAAGAAGGGTGCAAAAGTACCTCTAATGATGATAAAATTTATATAAAAGTGCTGAAACTATTAAATTTGACTAACAAACTCCAACATCCATTAACTCTAACCATTAAAAAAAAAGCAAACATAATGTGAAAAAATATTAGAATGTTTTTGAAATAAAGAGATATCTTTTTGAAAAGGCATGTCCTTATAAATTAAGGAGTTGTGTCCTTATAAATTAAGAAATATTTTTATAAAAAATTATGTGGAGTTATAGTCATTAAAGTCATGTTTCTAAAAATTCCAAAGGCACCTTTAGAGGTTATAAAACTAAAAGGTATCACTTAATTAAAGAAATCTATTTTAAAAAAACTTTGCATATTAAAAGGAAGTTTCTTTTCATAGAAAAATATTATAAATAACCCTTAATTAATATTAATTATTAAATTATGCAGGTTTATGAACTAACATAGAGGTGTTCATGAATTAATATAAAATTATTCATGAACAATACAATGGTTATGAACTAATATTTGTTATAACTTTGAAAAAGAGTTTTATTATTTAAAAATATAATTTTAAGGCATCACTTCAATATTTATAAATACTTCTTATCATCACTCATTTTAGAGATTCATCTATTGAAACTCATTGTCTTTAATTTATTCTTTAGATGCACAAGAGATAAAATCAAATTATCACTTTGTAAAAACCATTATTGTCTTACTTGAGTCTTGATAGTGTAAATCATACTTAAGAATCATACTCAAAAGTCTTCATTGTATTTTGAGGAAAATTCACCATTAACACAATTTGCACCTGAAAATTGAAATAAGTAGGGGCAAATTAAGCCTAAACAAAATGTTGCCCACTCTTTAAAGACAACCAAGGACATATCTAAGGGGCCATGAGAGGGGAACCCAATTTGATTAGTGCTTAGAAAATTTTTAGAAAATTTTTTGATTTTGCTTGTCAAAAAAATATAAAAATTAGTGTTAGCCCCCATATTTTAAATAGTTTTTAATTTTACCCCCATACTTTCATTCTTGTATTCATCCCTATATACAAGTGCACAACTTTCTTTTTTTATCTTTACTTCTTTTATTTTTTAGAGATCCATCCTCCCGAATAAAAAGTACTCATGAACCTTTTTTTAGGAGCTTTTGGCTTTCTAAAGTCAATAATAGTATATGGATATTCATTAACTTTATAAAATAGGCCAAGCTTCTCCAATTCATTAAGTTCTATTTTTAGAACTTTACAAACAATATCAAGTTATTGTAACAAATTGGGAAAGGTTAGATCAAGTATTTTGGGTCAAGTTCAATATGTTAGCATGAATAAGCTCAAAAAATCTTAATACCGGGCTTGGGAGTTTGGAATTTTTTTTATTTCAGGCTCATTCGAGTCACTTAAATAAGAGTTAATAAATCTAGACAAAGCCCAAACCCGAATGGGGTTCAAATTATTTTTTATTATTAATAAAATAAAATTAAAATTAGACAAAATTGAAAAATCTTAATTTTTAAGATAAAAATTGAAATTGATAAAACAAGAAAAAATAAAATAAAATAAAATTTTACAGTTATATTCGAATAAGCCCAAAAGCCCTAGTTGTTAGTGTTGAACTTAGCTATATGACCTATTTTATAAAATTAATAGATACCTATGCATCATTATTGACTTTAGGATACCAAAAGCTCCTAAAAAAAATTATGAATATTTTTACACCTTATGTTTATTTTTTTTTTCTTAACTTTCAAAGTCAATGAACGTTAGTTAGATTTAACAATTTGGGTATTTTTACACCTACTTCATTAATGTTGAAAGTATTTTTGTACTTTTATTCATTTAAGGATATTAGGTGTCCCTAAAAAAAGTTTATAGGTATTTTTGCCCTTCAACTCTTTATTTTTCCTTAATAATTTTTGAAAATTTTCAAAATAAATAGTCATTACAACATTGACATTTCATTTAAAAGTGTGAAATGTGAGAACTATTGTGAGAGGGTTTTGTAAGTACTATCAGCCCATTTGGTTGGATTCCTTGATAAGAATTATAGATAATCTTGATACATTTACCTGATTTAGGGTGTTTGGTTGAAAAAAATAAAGGAAAGGCCATTACATGGGTTCTAGATTACATCATATACTGTAATTGGGATTACATCGCCAGACCTATGTAATCTAGATTACATGATGGCAAAGGACACCCATGCCCTTCTTCTTCTTGTTGACTCCTCCATGGACCAACTCCACCAACAACACTCCTCTATGGACCAACTCTTGCAATGGCGACGCTCCTCCACAGACCAACTCCTCCATTGACAACACTCACAAAACTCCTTTAATGGCAGCACTTGTCAACCAGAATCATGGATCTGAATCAAAACCATAATCTCAGCCTCGTTCATTTGTGTTTTTCGATCATTAACACTCCAAGCTTCAATCACTCGTTCATCTTCTTTTAATCATCTCCAGATCTACTCGCTTTTTTTTCAAATTTATTTCTTTCTTTCCCTATATTTATTGGCCATATAAGGAAGATGAAGGAGGAAATATGTTAGGGGACACAGAAGCAGAATGGTGCTAGTTTAGGGACAGAATTCTGAAACATAATAAAAATACAAGAATAAAAAGAAAAGGACAAAATTTATGATGAAAGTAAAGAAAAAAAGAAAATAAACAATGAGATAATGATCAAGGATAAGATCCTCTAGAGCACCTATCTCTAAGGACCTCAACCTTCGAAGACACTACAAGAGTTGATCATGCTCTTGATCAAGTTTGTTTCTCACAAGAGATGCTACCAAAAGTACTAAGGCTCACAAGAGTTATAAATTTTAAAATAAATAATTTCATTCAACTTCTATTCTGTTTACAAAAGGGAGCATGCCTAATATATATATAGGCTCATAGAGAAGACTATTTTTTAAATTTAAAACCCTAATTTCCTAATACTAAAAGGAAAAATAATATAAAATAATGAGAAAATATTTAGTCACATAATTTAGGAGATGTGATCCTAAAATTATGGAATTACAAAATTTAGAAATTAATAATATAATTAATTCTAATTTTTGACTAGACTTAAAATAGGAAATCAAATCAAAGGACCATTAAAATAGAAAATAATTTAGGAGACAATCAAAGGATCATAAAGAATTTAAAATCATGTCACCCTTAACTTCTTCACTAGTGTTTCATGCCTCCTTACTTGCAAAAGGCTCATCTTGTAGTCTTCCTTGCATTGAACTAAGATTTGCTTCTCTTAAGCTTGGCTCTTCATGAATTTAGATCTTCAGCACATTATATACGTATACATGCTCTCCTTTGGGCTTGAGAGGAGTGCCTCAATGCTCTCTTAGTTCTTGAACTTTTTGCACAAGACTAAACAAGGCTTGCTTCATAACTTTAATTTGGACTCTTGTCATTAGACCTCCAATATGTTATAATGAGTCATTAGGTATGTTAGATTGAAAGTATTGGACTCCTTATTTCTTGCCTTGAGCTCCTTCCATGTCACCATACTCATGATTACCATACTCAAGTTTTGCTGCTATTAATGCCATATCATCCATACCATGGGGTCTATCAAAAGAGAAAAGGGCAAAAGTGATGGGTCTTGTTTTGCCACAGAGGATTGGAGATACAAGGAAGCAATGGGTTTTCTTCCAAGGGCTTTTTTATTCTTTTACTTTTATTTGTATTTAATTAAATATAAAAAATAAATTTATTTTTATCATTCCTAATATCAAACCAAATAAACTTATGTAATGACATTACATTCCATTTCATTTCCTATCCATTACATTTTATTACATTTTATCTGATCCTATGAACCAAACAGGCACTAAATGAATACTAGAGTAAATGCTAATTTCATTTTAAAAAAGAATTCAAGTATTATAGCACCTTTTTACAACTTGTTTGGATATCCTTCC